ATAATATTTATGAGTATACATATAATATTATAATATACATTATAGTATATAATATATTGTATATATTATATATGATAATGTATATTATATTTACACTCATAAATAGTATAAATATATTTATACTATTATACTATTTATATATATATTTATACTATATATATACACTATTATACTATTTATACTAATATATGTAGTATATATATTTATATATATAAATAGTTTATATATATAAATATATATAAACTATATATATTTTTATATATACTATATATAAATATATATATAAATAGTTTATATATTTTTTTATATATAAATAGTATTTATACTCATAATAGTGTATATATTATATATACTGTATTATATATACTGTATATATATTATATATACTCATAATAGTGTATATATTATATATACTGTCTTATATCAATATATAAAAATATTTATTTTATTTTATATTTTATTTTATTTTATATTTTATTTTATTCCATTTTATTTTCTTTTCTCGTAATTTATTCCATTTTATTTTTCTCCCACCTTCCTTCTGTTGAACTCTAGACCGAAACTCCTCAAATCCACTTCTTGCCGCACCTCGTCGTTACCAGCACCCGGATCTTTTCCCCATTTCCCCCATCCTGGAATTCCCAGGCCATTTCCCAGGGCTGTGGGGGTCTGTCCTGGCAGTGACAGATGGGCCGGGCTCAGCTGCTGCCAGGAAGGACAGATGGACAGCGGCCCCGCGGTCACTCGCTGGTGTCCAGCTGCTCTGCCCTTGATCTCTGAGTGACCAGAGTGACCGTGGAGCCCGGCATGGGCACAGCAGAGCCCTGTGCCACGTGTGCCCTGGTGACAGTGCCACCCTGGGATGTCACCGCGGCTCCAAACACAAAAATCTTCAGGGGAAAACTCCGTGATTGCCAAAGAACCCTGCCCAGCTGGGATGGGGTGGAACCTCACAGCCTTGGCTGGTGCTGTGGTGACACCGGTGGGGTGTGACATCTCCAGTGTCATGGGTGGATTGTGACATCTCCAGTGTCATGGGTGGGTTGTGACATCTTCAGTCACAGGTGTGATATCTCCAGTGTCACAGGTGGATTGTGACATCCCTGGTGTCATGGTCGGGTTGTGACATCCTTGGTGCCATGGTCAGGTGTGACATCCTTGGTGTCACAAGTGGGCTGTGATATCTTAGGTGTCATGCTCAGGTTGTGGCATCCTCAGTGTCACAGGTGGGTTGTGACAGCCCTGGTGTCATGGTCAGGTTGTGACATCCCTGGTGTCATGGGTGGGTTGTGATATCTCAGGTGTCATGAGTGGGTTGTGACACCCTCAGTGTCACAGGTGGGTTGTGACATCCCTGGTGTCGTGGTCAGGTTGTGACAGTCCTGGTGTCAGGTTGTGACATCCCTGGTGTCAGTCAGGTTGTGACATCCTCGGTGTCACAGGTGGGTTGTGATATCTCAGTTGTCACAATCAGGTTGTGACAGCCCTGGTGTCAGTCAGGTTGTGACAGCCCTGGTGTCACAAGTGGGCTGTGATATCTCAGGTGTCACGATCAGGTTGTGACAGTCCTGGTGTCAGCCAGGTTGTGACATCCCTGGTGTCACAGTCAGGTGTGACATCCTTGGTGCCACAGTGGGCTGTGATATCTCAGGTGTCATGGTCAGGTGTGACATCCTTGGTGTCACAGGTGGTTTGTGACACCTCTGTGGTTTCGTTTCACAGAACAACAGGACACAGCCTTAAGCTGCACCACATGAAGTTTCAGTTGGATATTGAGAGAAAGATTTCACTGAAAAAGTGATAAAGTTCTGCAATGGCTGCCCAGTCGCCATCCCTGGGTGTGTTTAACAAAGCCTGGATGTGGCACTGGGTGCCAGGGTTGAGTTGAGCTGTTGGGGCTGGGTTGGACTCGATGGCCTTGAAGGTCTCGTCCAACCTGGTCATTCTGGGATTGTGCGATTCAGTGATTCTGGGATTCTGGGATTTGGTGATTCGGTGATTCGGTGCTCAGTGCGTTTTGGAAAAAGCCTGAATCCTCCAAGCTCAGCAGAGGAGGAGCCAGCAGAGGCCAAACTGATGACCACAGAGCCTGGATGACCACAGAGCTGCAGATGACCAGAGCCATGGATGACCATGGAACTGTGGATGACCATGGGCCCTGGACCCATGGACCAAGGCTGAGGGCAGCTGTGGATGACCACAGAGCTGTGGATGCCCATGAAGCTGTGGATGACCATGGACCCTGGATGACCATGAAGCTGTGGATGACCATGAAGCTGTGGATCACCATGGACCCTGGATGACCATGAAGCTGTGGATGACCATGAAGCTGTGGATCACCATGGACCCTGGATGACCATGAAGCTGTGGATCACCATGGACCCTGGATGACCCCAGAGCTGTGGATGACCATGAAGCTGTGGATCACCATGGACCCTGGATGACCCCAGAGCTGTGGCTTGGCAGCTCAGCCTGGCACCCGAGGGCTGGGATGCTCCTCGGGAATGCTCCTTGGACATGGACTGGCCAAAGGGATGAGACCCATCTGGATCACTCCCTCCACGAGCCAGCCCCTCTTCCTGGGGCTCAGGGGAATTTATCTGTGTTTAAACCCCACCTTCAGTGCATCCTCAGCCTGGATGCGTTTGCTCTTCTCTGCTTTTTTGCCCTCCAAACCCATTGGAGTCTCCTCTCGATCTCCCCAGGGGTGTGGGGTCATCACAGCCATCTGCAGATGCTGCCTGGAGGTCTCTCCACTGGGATTTTTTCCCAAAATTTTTATACCCCACCAGTGTGAGAATGTTCCACATGTGTGCAAACGTGGTGTGCCCTGCACACAGGGGCCCAGGACGAGCAGTCCCCTCTCCAACAAAGCCCCCCAGCTCCGTGATGCTGTCCTGCATCCCATGGCCTCGTGGCTGGAGCTTTTCCTGGGGTCTGGGGGGTAGGCAGCGCATCCCCACCCCATCCCCATCCCATCCCATCCCCATCCCCTCCCCATCCCCATCCCATCCCATCCCCATCCCATCCCATCCCCATCCCCACCCCATCCCCACCCCATCCCCACCCCATCCCCATCCCCATCCCCATCCCCATCCCCATCCCATCCCCACCCCATCCCCATCCCCACCCCATCCCCATCCCATCCCCACCCCATCCCCATCCCATCCCCACCCCATCCCCATCCCATCCCCATCCCCATCCCCATCCCCATCCCCACCCCATCCCCATCCCATCCCCATCCCCATCCCCATCCCCATCCCCATCCCATCCCCACCCCATCCCCATCCCCATCCCCATCCCCATCCCCACCCCATCCCCATCCCCACCCCATCCCCATCCCATCCCATCCCCATCCCCACCCCATCCCATCCCCATCCCATCCCCATCCCCTCCCCATCCCCATCCCCACCCCATCCCCATCCCCATCCCCATCCCATCCCCATCCCCATCCCCATCCCCATCCCATCCCCATCCCATCCCCATCCCCATCCCCATCCCCATCCCCACCCCATCCCCACCCCATCCCCATCCCCACCCCATCCCCATCCCCATCCCCATCCCCATCCCCTCCCCATCCCCATCCCCATCCCATCCCCATCCCCATCCCCATCCCCTCCCCATCCCCATCCCCATCCCATCCCCATCCCATCCCCATCCCCATCCCATCCCCATCCCATCCCCATCCCCATCCCATCCCCATCCCCTCCCCATCCCCATCCCCATCCCCATCCCATCCCCATCCCATCCCCATCCCCATCCCCGTCCCCACCCCATCCCATCCCCACGCTGAGCCGTTGGACACCCTCAGCGGTGCGCCCGCTGCAAACCCCCCGAACAAAAGCCCAGTTCAGACTCGCTGCTGAATAGATTAACAAGATTTCCATAATTAGGGCGGGCGGGAACAATGGGATTCTCCCTGCCCAGCCCCCCCGGCTGCCTTTGTCTTGTGCTGGGGATAATGGGCAGCAGCGAGGGTGGGAACCGGCCCGGCCATTTGGTCACTGGACAGTAATTTTCTCACACTGCCAAGGGGAGCATTGAAACATCTGTCCCGCTCCGCCGCTCATTCACGTCCCATTTCAGCCCTGACAACTCCTCCCTGCCCGCCGCCCTCCCCCTCGCTGCGTTTTCCAGCTTTTTTCATGGATTTGGGGTTTTTTTCTTCTCAGTCTTTCAAGGGGGGTTGTTGGCGCCTTGTGCCTGTGCATTCCTCCGAGTGATCCAGGATTGGGAACGGGGCAGGACGAGCTGTGCCCTTGTGGTGGGCTTCCAACCACAGCCTCCTCCAGGCTTTTGGAGGAGCAATTCCATCCCTGGGCCCACCTCTGGATGGTTTTTTAGCAGTGGGGTTCATCACTGTCCCTGTCCCAAAAGCCTGGGAATGCCCCTGGGATTTGTTGGCCGGGAGTGGTCACACACCTCTCCTGGTGACCCCAAATCCCTGGGCACTTGCAGCCTGACATTTCTGGGGGACAGAAGCAGCAGCAGCACTCGGCACCCGCTGAGCGAGGATGGAAACTCCCAGTGTTTAAATTCCTTTAAAAAATTGAAATATCAAGGAAAATGCCTTATTCGTCACGTGAATCATCATTCTTATTCATCACAGAACCAGCCAAATGCTCATTTTTCCCTTTAGAGCTCCTGGGCAGCTCCAGGAGGATCCCCTGTGCCTTTATCCATCAGGAGCACTTTGACAAATCCTTCTTAGCCTGACGATGGTCTCATCCCTTCATTATGAGTGACAACAATAATTTGGGGGGTACTGGGGGGGTCCTTGTGCCGCACTCCCTCCCTGCCTGCAGCCCTCAGGCCTGCAGATTATTTATTGGACTCGGTGATCTCGAAGGTCCTTGCTGATGATCCTGTGGATATCCAGAGTGAGCTGAGCAGGTGTTCCCGGCCCGGGGGTGTGGTGGGGTGAGGACAGGGGGATTTGGGGACACTCCATGCACAGCTCCCGTTCCGCTGCTCTCACCTGCGCTGTCCCGTGCCCACAGGTCTGTCGAAGATGCACTGGTCACCAGAGCATGCCCAGTCCCTGAACCAGTGGCCGGAGCAGCACCTGGACGTCTCCTCCACGACCTCCTCGCCGGCCCACAAGACCGAGCTGTACCCCAGCGCCCGCCAGCGCTTCAACTACGCCTGGGCCAACGACGACATTTCGGCGCTGACGGCCTCCAACCTGCTCAAGAGGTACGCCGAGAAGTACTCGGGGGTGCTGGACGCGCCCTACGAGCGCCCGGCCCTCGGCGCCTACGGGGATGGCGCCTTCGGCCCCGTTAACGGGCAGAAGGGCGACGGGGAGCCCTGGCCGGGGGCGCACGGCTCCGATGGCACCTACCCGCTGACGCCCATCCACGATGGCCTGGCCGGTGCCAAGGGCGTGGTGCCACCCGCCGTCCCTGCCGGCAGCGGGGCCATCGGGCTGGGGGGCTCCCCGGTGGTGTCGGCGAACCTCAGCGACCCCGTGTACCCCGGGAACTCCTGCGGGGCGGCTGCTGCGGGCTCCGGGGCGCTCGGGGCGTCCCAGGAGTACCCCTCGGGCTATGGGGGCGCCTACTTGCCCTCTGGCTACTGCGCCCAGCCAGCGGCGGCGCTGCCCCCGCCGCACCCTCCCGGCCTCCACAGCTCAGGGCTCCTGCAGCCTCCGCACCCCTCGCCCGCCCTGGTGCCCGGCTACGGCTCCTCGGGCCCCATGTACAACTATGCCAGCAGCAGCTACCCGCCCCAGCCGGGCTACGGGGGCATCCACCCGCCCCACCCCTCCGCCTCCTACCTGCCCTCGGGCATCGCCGCGCCCACCCCCATCCCGGCCCCGCCGCCCTCCGCCCGCCCGCCGGGGGTCCCTGCCTATGGCTACCAGGGCGCTGGGCTGGGCGCCCTGGCCGTGCCGCCCCTGGGCACCGAGGCGGCGGGCACGCTGAAGAGGAAGGCGTTCGACATCGGCGGGGAGGACGACGGCGAGGGCAGGTACAGGAAATACAGCTACGAGCAGCCAAAGTCCCCCTACCCCCTGTCGGACAACGGCGAGTGCCGGGGCAACGGCTTCAGCAGCAGCGGCGAGTCCCCCCAGGTGCCCTTCAAGCCCGGGAAGCGGCCGGCGGGAGCCGGGAGCGCCGAAGAACACAAGTACGGCGGGCAGCAGATGAAGGGGATGGTGTCACCATCCTACGGTGCCAGGGACACTCCCCTGCGGCCGGCAGAGCCCTTCGAGAAGTTCAGCCCGCCCCTCGCCAACGGGGAGCGGGCGGCCGAGCCGGGACCCCCCTTCCCGCTGCGGCCGCCCCCCAAAGCGCTGGCGTTCGGCGGTTCCCCGCTGGAGGAGCAGCCCAAGAACATCGACCCGCTGCTCCTGGAGCTGGTCAACACCAAGGTGGTGGAGCGGGGCCCGCCGGTGCAGTGGGCGGACGTTGCCGGGCAGGTGTCGGTGAAGGCGGCCATCGAGGAGGAGCTGCTGTGGCCCATCCTGCGGCCCGGCTCCTACAGCGGCGCCAGCCACCCGCTGCGCACCCTGCTGCTCTTCGGGCCCCGCGGCACCGGCAAGGCGCTGCTGAGCCGCTGCATCTCCACGCAGCTGGGCTCCACCCTGCTGCGGCTCAGCGGCACCGCGCTGCTGTCCACCTGGAAGGCCGAGGCCGAGAAGATCCTGCAGACCGTGTTCTTCGTGGCCAGCTGCCGGCAGCCCGCCGTGGTGCTCATCACCGAGGCCGAGTCCCTGCTGGCGGCGCGGGCGGGCGAGGACGGCGGCCAAGCGAGCAACCTCAAATCCCAGCTGCTCTCCTACCTGGACAACGTGGCTACCTCATCGGAGCGCGGCGTGGTGGTCATCGGCACCACGGCGCGGCCCGGCAGCATGGACGAGGCGTCGCACCGGCGCTTCGGCACGCGGCTCTACGTGGCGCCGCCGGACGGCGAGGCGCGGCGCCACATCCTGCGCCAGGCCCTGGCGCGGCAGAGCTGCCGCCTGAGCGAGCGCGAGCTGGCGGCCCTGGCGCAGCGCACCGAGAGCTTCTCGGGCGCCGAGCTGCTGCGGCTGTGCCAGCACGCCGGGGCCGCCGCGCGCCGCGCCGCGCCCGGGCCCCCGGCCTCCTACCAGGAGCTGGAGAAGGCGCTGTGCAAGGTGCGGCCTGCCCTGTCCCAGAAGGAGCTGGACTTGTTCCTCGAGTGGGATAAGATGTACGGCACCAGGCACTGATGGGGGCCGGACCTTGGGGCTGTGGGGACCCCAGAGCTGCAGGGATGGACCCCAGAGCTGCAGGGATGGACCCCAAAGCCGCAGGGATGGACCCCAAAGCTGCAGGGATGGACCCCAGAGCTGCAGGGATGGACCCCAAAGCCGCAGGGATGGACCCCAAAGCTGCAGGGATGGACCCCAAAGCCACAGGGATGGACCCCAAAGCTGCAGGGATGGACCTAAGGCCATGGAGACAGACCCCAAGGCCACAGGGATGGACCCCAAGGTCAGGGGGGCAGACCCTGAGGCCGTGGGGGCAGACCCCAAAGCCATGGGATGGACCCCAAGGCTGTGGGACAGACCCCAAGGCTGTAGGGATGCACCCCAATGTCAGAGGGATGGACCCCAAGTCTGCAGGGACAGACCCCAAAGCCACAGGGACAGACCCCAAAGCCATGGGATGGACCTCAAGGCCATGGGGACAGATCCCAAGGCCATGGGGACAGACCCTGTGACCACAAGGATGAACCCCAAGGTCAGAGGGATGGACCCCCAAGACCACAGGGATGGACCCCAAGGTCAGGGGGACAGACCCCAAAGCCATGGGATGGACCCCAAAGCCATGGGACGGACCCCAAAGCCACAGGGACGGACCCCAAAGCCATGGGACGGACCCCAAAGCCATGGGACAGACCCCAAAGCCACAGGGACAGACCCCAAAGCCATGGGACGGACCCCAAAGCCACAGGGACAGATTTGGGACATGGATCGGGGTCCCTGTGGGCTCTGGCTCTCTCCGTGGGCTTGGATCCCCCCTCACATCCCCACCTCTCCCCTTTGGGACCCCCAGGATTTCCCCCACAGGGCAGCCTCGCCCAGCGCTCAGGATAAGCTATTTATTGTCCTTTATCGTTCTCCCGACCCTCCGCGCCTGCAGCGGGGCTGGAGGATCCCGGCATCACCTTCAGGAGCTCCCCATCCACCCCAAAAGCTTTATTGCCATTTGTTTTAAAATTGATTTTATTATTCCCAACAGAAATACCTCGGGTGTCCTCGGAGCCCCTTCTCACCTTGATCAGGGAAAGGGGGAGATGCCCAAAAACCAGGGAATTTCACCCCAAAACCAGGGAATTTCACCCCAAAATCCAGGGAATTTCACCCCAAAATCCCGGGAATTTCACCCCAAAACAAGGAGGTTGCACCCCAAACAATGGGTTACACCCCAAACCAATGTGTTACACCCCAAAACCAGGGGGTTACACCCCAAAACCAGGGGGTTTTGGAGTAAAATGCTGTAGATTGTTGAATATCCTAGACTTGGGTTTTTATTTTTGTAAGGTCTGTAGTGTTTTTTGTTTGTTTGTTTGTTTTCTTTTTTAACTACTCAGGAAAAGAATTACCTCGGAAAAAAAAGAAAAAAACTAAAGAATGTTTTTTTAAAAACACTTTTTATCTTCTCAGAAAAGGAAAAAAGGAGATTTTTTTAAAGAGTTTTCCCACCTGGGACAAAGCTGCCTCCTGCATTTGCTTCCAAAGGGGGTGAAGAAAGGAAGAAATAAAAGGAGAAAGAAACTTGAAGCTGTTACAAAGATGAAATTTGAATGTATTTCAGGTGCTTTCCACATATATTATGCCATAATTTTATTTGAGATTTTGTTTAACATCGTTTATCGTAGCGTTTGGTGGAGTTTCGTGTCTTCAATGGAAAGTTTAGTGCTGTAGCTTGGGAGCTGTCGCTGGCACCACTTTTTGGAGCAAATTGGGCAAATCCCCCCCTTTCCCCCCAAAAAAAAGCCCAGCAGGGCTGAGTGAGGGGCTTTGCACAGAGCATGAACCCCCAGCCCATTCCTGAACCCTTTTTAATGGGGATTTCCCCATTAAAAAAAATATTTTTAATTATTTTTAGTGCTCTAAAGGCTCCCCCTTAGAGCAGCCCCCCCAAACCTCAGGGTCTGCCAGGTTTTTCCCCAATTTTCCCCAATTTTTCCCAATTTCTTATTGCATCCAGGGCATTACCTTTTGCCTCCCACCTCCAAAAAGTCGTGCTGGATTCCTGAAGACTTATTATTATTATTATTATTATTATTATCCTGTTCGTACACTCTCTGTAACCATTTCTACCTCATTTTGCAACATGTTTGTACATGAAAGTATTTAATTCATGTCTTATTGATGTCTGAGACAGACAAGCTCTAGGGATGGGACGGTCTACCTCAAGAAATGCTGTATTTTAAAATGAAAAAAAAAGGAAAAAAAAAAAAAGTATTACACAGTATTAAAGAGATTACCTGAACAATTCCTGTCCTTGGGGTGCTGTGGGGGGCTCCTGGGGGGGTTTGGGACCCCAGAAAGGGTTGGGGGTGATGGGGAAGGGTGGGCAGGGGTCCAGGGGGGCAGTTGGGAGTTTTTCATTAGGGAAACCCTGGGAGATCCAAGAAAATCGCAGCTTTTTCATCAGGGAAATCAAGAGAAATTGCAATTTTTTCTTCAGGGAAATCCAGGGAAACACGGGGAGATCCAGGAAGATCACAGTTTGTCATCAGGGAAATCCAGAGAAATTGCAGCTTTTTATCGAGGAAACCCAGGGAATCCAGGGAAATCCGTGGAGATCCAGGGAGATCCAGGAATTCCAGGGAAACCCAGGAAGATCCAGGAAAATCACAGTTTGTCATCAGGGAAATCCAGAGAAATTGCAGTTTTTCATCAAGGAAATCCAGGGAAACCCAGGGAAATCCGAGGAAATCCAGGGAGATCCAGGAAAACCCAGGGAGATTCAGGACAATCACAGTTTTTCATCAGGGAAATCCAGAGAAATTGCAGGTTTTTATCAGGGAAATCCATGGAAACCCAGGGAGACTCGGGGAAATCCCAGTTTGCCATCAGGGAAACCCAGGGAAATTGCAGTTTTTCATGAGGGAAATCAAGAGAAATTGCAGGTTTTTATCAGGGAGATCCAGGAATTCCAGGGAATCCAGGGAAATCACAGTTTGCCATCAAGGAAATCTAGAGAAATTGCAGTTTTTCATCAGGGAAATCCAGAGAAATTGCAGGTTTTTATCAGGGAGATCCAGGAATTCCAGGGAATCCAGGGAAATCACAGTTTGCCATCAAGGAAATCTAGAGAAATTGCAGTTTTTCATCAGGGAAATCCAGAGAAATTGCAGGTTTTTATCAGGGAAATCCAGGGAAACACAGGGAGATCCAGGGAAATCCCAGTTTGCCATCAGGGAAACCCAGGGAAATTGCAGTTTTTCATGAGGGAAATCAAGAGAAATTGCAGGTTTTTATCAGGGAGATCCAGGAATTCCAGGGAATCCAGGGAAATCACAGTTTGCCATCAAGGAAATCTAGAGAAATTGCAGTTTTTCATCAGGGAAATCCAGAGAAATTGCAGGTTTTTATCAGGGAAATCCAGGGAAACACAGGGAGATCCAGGGAAATCGCAGTTTGCCATCAGGGAAATCCAGAGAAATTGCAGTTTTTCATCAGGGAAATCCAGAGAAATTGCAGGTTTTTATCAGGGAAATCCAGGGAAACACAGGGAGATCCAGGGAAATCGCAGTTTGCCATCAGGGAAATCCAGAGAAATTGCAGTTTTTCATCAGGGAAATCCAGAGAAATTGCAGGTTTTTATCAGGGAGATCCAGGGAAACACAGGGAGATCCAGGGAAATCGCAGTTTGCCATCAGGGAAATCCAGGGAAATCGCAGTTTGCCATCAAGGAAATCCAGGGAAATTGCAGTTTTTCGCCAAGAAAATTCAGGTAATCCAGGGAAACCCAGGGAGACCCAGTGAAATTCAGGGAATTCGCGTTTTGCCGCCTCCCCCGTTCCAAGGACGGCGCTGGTGGCGCCTCGGGGCTGCGTTGCCACCTCGTGGTTCCTCTCCCCATTCCCGCCGGGGCCGCCTCGGCTCTGCCCGGTCCCCTTGGGGTGGGACAGGGCCAGGAAGGTCCCGGGGGGGTTCGGGCGCTGCTTTCCCCTCTTTGGGGGTGTGGAATGAGGGTGGGGTGGCAGAAATGTCCCCAGGAGCAGAATTGTCCCCATCCCGCCGCTCCAAGGTGGCTCCGGTGGCCGCTGGGTGGGTTTGGTTTATTTTGGGGGATTCCTGGCAGAGATGGGGGGACACCAGAGCCAGAGCCCGGCTCGGTTCAGCGCCACGGATGAAGGGCAGGATGCCCCGGGGAGAGGAGGATTTGGGACAGACGGACAAATGTCACTGCCAGGGGTGAAAATGACCCAGAGCTCCTCCTGGACAGCACGAGAGCGCTTTGGTTGGTCCCTGCTGGGGATTAGGGACGCGTTTGGTCTGTCCCCATGTCCCTACAGGGCCGGATTTGGGAACGCCAGGCGCCAAGTTTGGGGATTTGGGAGTGCCAGGCACCGAATTTGGGGATTAGGGAATGCCAGGCACCAAATTTGGGGATTTGGGAATGCCAGGCACCGAATGTGGGAATTAGGGAATGTCAGGCACCAAATCTGGGAACTTGGGAATGGCAGGCACCTAATTTGGGAATGCCAGGGACCAAATTTGGGGATTAGGGAATGCCAGGCACCGAATTTGGGAATTTGGGAGTGCCAGGCACCAAATTAGGGAATGCCAGGCACCAAATTTGGGGATTAGGGAATGCCAGGAGGGCTGCCAGGCTGGAGGCACAGGTGCCGCTGCCGTGGGGTGTGACACAGGACAACGGACCCAGCACAGGGAGCTCACCCCGGAGCCGCTCTGTGAGGTCAGGGCGTTCCACGCTCCTGGCACACCCCGATGCCCAGGGTGCCGCCACGCTGGCACCAGACGATGCTGGCACCGCTGGGCATCGTCCTGCTCCTGCTGGCGCTGCGGGGCCGCGCCGATGACACGGTGGCCGCCTCGGTGGGCAGGCACAGCATGGGCCGCATCGCCGAGCTCCTGGCCAGCTCCGAGTGCCACCAGCTGCAGGCCGAGCTCAACAGCCTCGAGGAGGAGCCGGGCACCCCCGAGCTGGAGGGGCCGGGGGGTCCCGAGGAGGACGAGGAAGAGGA